TCAGAAAGTTTCGATACTTTTTGTTCATTTAAATGAACTACAACACCTTCCGGTACACAAGTCTTGAAATCTTCCAGCAAGACCAACTCTTGCAACTCTTCATAAGTTGTAGTCTTACTGGCAAGACACCATTTTTCAAAAAGCGATTTCTTTTCTCTAGCGAATTCAACATAAGTTTGTTTGGCTTGCTTTGAACACGCTCTAAATTTCTGCCGATACGCCTCCGGCACTAACTCATATGCTCTTAGAACTGCTGTTTTCACAATGTCATAGTCCAATGACTCCTCAATTGGCAAAGCCGCACACACCTCCTGTGCTTTGCCAACCAGGTTACACTGAAGCAGCAGAGCCCACATGTCCTTCGGCCACTTCAATTTAAATGCGACGCGCTCAAAAGCAACAAAATAAGAGTCTACTTCTGCTTCACGGAAAGGCGGTACTAGCTTGATGTACTTGCCTATTTCAAAGTCAGATTTAGACTCAACTAGATCAGTAGGAGAGGCCGGTATAGGAACTGGTCGGTCACGGAAGCCTTGCGCCTCAAGATCAAGCCTACGCAGTTGAATATCACGGTCAGCTTTAATTTCAAGAGCTCTCAGACGAAGCAGCTGTGTCTCATGTTTCTGCTTACTTACCGCTAGATCCAGCTCTTTTAACTTAAGCGCCACTTGAGGATCTTGATAAGACTCTTTTTTAACACTACTTCCTGAACTTGAACCACTGGACGCAGCTTCTTTATCAATTTCGGTGTCGACCACATGCTCTAAGATTGGTTCTGGAAAGACATCTACCTCTACCAATTTCGTATATAGTTCATCTCTTATCACGCTTTTCGTTGCTGCCTTGGCAACCGTTATATTATAAAAGTCAGCTATCACCAGCAGATCTTTCTTTCTACAACGATTGTATTCCTCCAATGTAGGACACAGCGTAAATTTAATCAAATCGAAATCCATATTTTTTAATATAGGACTTCCTCATCCACCAAAGTTTAAAGCAGCCAAACAAAATTAAAATTTCACAACAACAAAAGAAAGAACGGACGAGCCCCCAATTGTTACGTGCCTCCCCAGTCTAGGGGTCAGGGAGACAGTAACAAGGAAATTATCAACAAGTTGGCAACCAAGAACCTGGTTAATCTGTGGTTTGGCTAGAGAGAGAGTTCTTGGTTGCCAACTTGTTGATAATTTCATTGTTACGTGCCTCCCCAGTCTAGGGGTCAGGGAGACAGTAACAAGGAAATTATCAACAAGTTGGCAACCAAGAACTCTCCTCCCCTGTCTCACTCCACAAATCACACAGATTTTTTAGAACTCAAAAAGACTTTATTTGGAGTGATCCAAAGTACAAAAGGAAACGGAAAGCGTCAATAGGCTTCGGGAGGGGACAAGGCCAAAACAATAAACATAAAGTTCTGACTATAGGGGAAAAGCCTTCTTAACCTTCCAAAATAAGATAGAAAAGAATAACAAATACCTTACCTCACTCCCTCTCTAGCCAAACACAGGAGAAAAAGGTGGACATAACATAAATGGCATCCTCCTCCCTACTGCTTCCAAAATAAACTTAAATCAAAAAGGAGTCTGGTAACTGGTTTGAAGAATGTAAGAAGAGCTGGTTTAACCGCAGTCCAAGTCTGTTCAGATCAACAACAATCAACAATGTCAGCAATTGACAACAAGATGTACAATTGCTCTTAACACACATGCAAAGGGGTGAGGCAGGAGAAGACAGTCTGGGCACCCTGGAGTCAAAAGAGGATCTCTCCCAACTGGCTTTTCCTTTCCAGCTTTATCCACGAGCTTCCCTAGTCAGGAGCCAATCAGTGGGAACCAGGAGATGATAGTAATTCGTATCAGCTGGCCCCCATTTGGACATGAGAGACTGAGAGAGAGAGAACAAAGAAAGAAAAAAAAACACCAAAACATTGCACACATAATAATTACGCCCTGGGACGTAACAATTGGTCAGGTCAGAGGTCACTCGTCATGCGTCAGGTCAGAGGTCACTCGTCATGCGTCAGGTCAGAGGTCACTCGTCATGCGTCAGGTCAGAGGTCACTCGTCATGCGTCAGGTCACTTGTCATGCGTCGGGTCAGAGGTCACTCGTCATGCATCAGGTCACTTGTCATGCGTCGGGTCAGAGGTCACTCGTCATGCATCAGGTCACTTGTCATGCGTCGGGTCAGAGGTCACTCGTCATGCATCAGGTCACTCGTCATGCGTCAGGTCAGAGGTCACTCGTCATGCGTCGGGTTAGAGGTCACTCGTCATGCGGCGGGTCAGAGGTCATGCGGCGGGTCAGAGATCACTTGTCATGCGTCAGGTCAGAGGTCATACGTCGGGTCAGAGGTCACTCGTCATGCATCAGGTCAGAGGTCACTCGTCATGCGTCAGGTCAGAGGTCACTCGTCATGCGTCAGGTCAGAGGTCACTCGTCATGCGTCAGGTCAGAGGTCACTCGTCATGCGTCAGGTCACTTGTCATGCGTCGGGTCAGAGGTCACTCGTCATGCATCAGGTCACTTGTCATGCGTCGGGTCAGAGGTCACTCGTCATGCATCAGGTCACTCGTCATGCGTCAGGTCAGAGGTCACTCGTCATGCGTCGGGTTAGAGGTCACTCGTCATGCGGCGGGTCAGAGGTCATGCGGCGGGTCAGAGATCACTTGTCATGCGTCAGGTCAGAGGTCATGCGTCGGGTCAGAGGTCACTCGTCATGCGTCGGGTTAGAGGTCACTCGTCATGCGGCGGGTCAGAGGTCATGCGGCGGGTCAGAGATCACTTGTCATGCGTCAGGTCAGAGGTCATACGTCGGGTCAGAGGTCACTCGTCATGCATCAGGTCAGAGGTCATGCGTCGGGTTAGAGGTCACTCGTCATGCGGCGGGTCAGAGGTCATGCGGCGGGTCAGAGATCACTTGTCATGCGTCAGGTCAGAGGTCATGCGTCGGGTCAGAGGTCACTCGTCATGCATCAGGTCAGAGGTCATGCGTCGGGTTAGAGGTCACTCGTCATGCGGCGGGTCAGAGGTCACTTGTCATACGTCAGGTCAGAGGTCACTCGTCATGTGTCAGGTCAGAGGTCACTCGTCATGCGTCGGGTCAGAGGTCACTTGTCATATGTCGGGTCATAGGTCACTCGTCATGCGTCAGGTCAGAGGTCACTTGTCATGCGTCGGGTCAGAGGTCACTCGTCATGCGTCGGGTCAGAGGTCACTCGTCATGCGTCGGGTCAGAGGTCACTCGTCATGCGTCGGGTCAGAGGTCACTCGTCATACGTCAGGTCAGAGGTCACTCGTCATGTGTCAGGTCAGAGGTCACTTATCATGCGTCGGGTCAGAGGTCATCATCAGGTCAGAGCTCAATCGTCATGTGTCGGGTTTGAGGTCAACCGGTCACTCGTCATGCGTCAGGTTAGAGGTCACTCGTCATGCGTCAGGTCAGAGGTCACTCATCATGCGTCAGGTCCGAGGTCATCATCAGGTCAGAGGTCACTCGTCATGTGTCGGGTTTGAGGTCAACCGGTCACTCGTCATGTGTCGGGTTAGAGGTCACTTGTCATGTGTCGGGTCAGAGGTCACTCGTTATGCGTCAGGTCAGAGGTCATCATCAGGTCAGAGGTCACTTGTCATGTGTCGGGTCAGAGGTCACTCGTTATGCGTCAGGTCAGAGGTCATCATCAGGTCAGAGGTCACTCATCATGCGTTGGGTTAAAGGTCATCGTCAGGTCAGAGGTCACTCATCATGTGTTGGGTCAGAGGTCACTCATCATGTGTCGGGTCAAAGGTCACTCTTTCAATGAACTAGACTCCTGTACGGCCGTTACCGGAAGCCAGTGATTATAGTTTATAAAGTTATGTATATGGATATTTTTCTTGGCTTCAGAAGGCCTTATAACCCCTGCAGGCGTATGGATTACTCTTATGATGATGGATTCAAAATCTCAGGCTCCATTCACTGACATTATAACGCTGGGAAGAGCTAGGATATAATTTTAATATAACTAATATTTTTTAATAAAACTCTGATTGTGTTTGGCTGAAAAAAGCCATAAACACTAGGATGGCTTGAGGGTGAGTCAATAATGGGATATTTTTGGGACTAAACTATTCCTCTAAGTCAGGTCCCCTGTGGAAAAAAATTTCCTGGATTTCATGCATTACAACCGATACTTTCTGAAAGCATTTGAATGTACAAAGATGCTCTTTAGGATTACATAGTGTAGTTACAAGCTATCCCAGCCAGACCTGGACCATTTGACGTCCATGAAACCAAAACTGACCATTCGTAAAACAAATAATGAAATACTGCAGTATTTATTATAAAATTATTTATAGATGCACATAATTTTAAATTCATGACCCTCATAATTTTCCATCAAAATAATGATCTACTTTGATGACGTGTTTACTGGCACGAGGGCGGGGCAACCTGTCACTCACATGAGATCCACCAATAGCAAACCGAAAACATACGATCAATTGCGTTCCCTCTGTGTGTGTGTGTGTGTGTGTGTGTGTGTGTGTGTGTCAAGGTTTAAAATCTCCCGTTCTATCTATAGTATTTGATCGATTGACCAAAAGAACATCAGAGGTTAATCGAAACTTCATCTGACTGCAGATGTCAACAGTGCCTGGTTAAACGCTAAACTGATGAAGAAGGAAGTTTGTGCTGTTTATTGTAAACAGACAGAACTGACATGTAAAGACCTCTAAGATAATCACTGAACTGATAAACAATGATACGAATAATAACAGTGAGTGACTGGTAATACAAATGAAGGGCATTTTTAAAGTTATTTCCTCGCCCAAATAACTTTTCTGTGTCGTAAACCGAAGAAACATTCACGCTTTCAAAACAACCTGGAGGAAAAACCTGCTTCAATGTCAATACGAGACGCTCGCGCAGTTCATAACTCATCTCATCTGTATAAACATGATCATAAAGTATATCATGCTGTATGTCATCTGATTATTGAACAGAAGAATCGCCTGTACTCACCATACTGTATCTCACACAGGGTTTGTTACTGTCCAGGTTTAATATCGTTCACTTTCTGCGCTTGTTCAGCTGTGGCTGAAGTTCCCGATGCGCGTTCCCGATCGCCCCTCCCTCTTAATTCACTCTCTACTGTCCGAGCGTTACAGTCATACTATGACGAAGCGTTGCCTCGTGAATATTAATGACACCCTGTGGCGCTCGGCTTCACTGATTGGCTAAGAGCCTGGCGCTGGTGGGCGGGTGCTACTGAGATAGCGAATTAACTCTGTAGAAGGGGGTTGGCACAATTAATATTAATAACGTTTGGTGCTTAGACGCTCT